TCGTGGGCTGGGGAAAAACTCGTAAGGCTAAAACGACAATGTCTTTAGAAAATTTTCAGTGCTCGTGGCGAGCTCTACACTACGCTTATCAACAGAAGATGACAGTTAGTTGGCGGGGGTATCCCTGAAGAGCGTGGGACGAAGACTTGTCTGCGGGTAGAACTTCGGAAACACCCTTAGTTGGCGGGCGAGCAGGAAGTTATATTTTCCCCCTCGATAAACAGGTGCTAAAAAGAAGATATAGGCTGCTTTTTCGTGGGATAAGTGGTGTCTTTAAATGTTGCCAGTGGTCGTGAGTCTCCGCGACGGCATGGTGGGGACAGTGGCAGCCCTTCCGTATATATTTTCCACTCACAACCGTCCGCATCTGGCGGACTACTTTTCAGTCTTCGAAATATAACAGTAGTAATGGCGTGACTGCTTAGAGTAGCTATTCCCGAGCCTAGCGAGCGCATTGCACGACTTGGTCCGAGTGGAGTGGAACCCAACAGACGGGCCTGTTGCTCGCCCGGGCAAGCAGACCGCGGATTTCTGTTTTGCGAAGCGTCTACCGTGGACCTAGGCGCGCAGTTGGGCAAACAAAGTTACATCTATAAAGTTCCCGGCTATTTTTGTTCGTTGGTGGAACCCTTTACCTCGATGATCCTTCGCCCTTCTTGGCNTATAAAGTTCCCGGCTATTTTTGTTCGTTGGTGGAACCCTTTACCTCGATGATCCTTCGCCCTTCTTGGCATGCGGTCACCGAGCGACACGAGCTTCAGAAGATATGCAGATCGTCGCTCCCTCTCACAAACACGAGAGAATTGTAGGACTATCTAATGATGTCTCTTCCATATGCTGGCCAGGAAACTTGGAGTCGACTAGCCCATCCGACGGAACGAAGTCGCCCTCGACGGTCACGGGCCCAGAAACTGCCGCTCCGCGTCTTCCTTGCTACCACTATTTTCGTTGTAACAACATTAGTATCATTATCCATATGCAAAGCTATGAACAGAAAAGGCCAGTTGTCGGGAGTAACACGCCGCCAGTTGGCTGAGGGCGGGGAAGGCATCGATGAAGATGAGCATTCCATCGTAGAAGGCTGCTTGGATTTGGAAGAGGAGATGGGGGTTTTGCAGCAAAGAGCGTTTTCCAGTTCTGAAGGTGACTGGTCAACCCGGTTAGCAAGTCTAGTGTCAATGCTGTCAGAGGCCGCGGCAGCGAAGGAATCAGANGCCTGAAGATGGTGAGCTGGGAAGTATGCTTAGTCCTTCACTGCAGGCATCTGGTCAACGCGTCCGAACCGCCGATGTTAACCCTGGTCTCGACCCCGACTCCTGGTTAGAGTCGATTCCAAGCATTGATTCTCACCCTGAACAAGAGGCAAGGGGTGAGCCGTCCCCGGTTACTGATGACGGGTCGATGGCTGGGCAAGTGTTAGCATCACCTGCGTCGACGCAAGGGCATCCAGAAGGCCTCAGAGAAATCCTTCAGACTGGCGACATTCGGAAGCATCCGTATGTTCGACTGCCAGTGCTGGAGGAAGATGTTGTTCCTAAATGCATCCGAGTATCTGCCCTCTTTAGTAAAGACCAAAAGACGTTTTATCAATATGGCTATCTTGTCACAGTGCGGGAACTACTTCATCGCAGGAAACTCAGCCAAGAAGATGCAGATTCTCTTGTACAGACAATCGAGCGTCTGGTGGCCACATCCTGGTTTAAAAGCAAAAAAGGACCAACCGGGCCGTCTCCCATTTGTATTGTCGATACTTTAGGCATGTATTTCTTGGCGTTCGATGCCATCATCTGCGCTGTCGAACTTCTGGGGGACGCCATGCAACTCCCTCTCTGGTGGGAGAAATTCACAGCAAGCTTCACCACGAGTTTTCCCCTGGCCTCTCCAGGGTCACGCGGACGTGAAGTTACGAGATTTCACATCGTTTTGGCAAGACGCCTTTCCGCTGCCCTCGAGATTTACAAAAGGGGAATGCGCCCTCCACTTCCGGAAGTAGTAACCCTGAAAAAACTGCTATTCTGCTATCCACTCGGCCGTCATAAATTCAAAAGCCTGTACTGGGCTCCGTGGCGAAAGGATGGAGGGTGTTAGGTGGAGGCAGTGCCTACAGCATGCACCTTTATCTTGTTTGATATATGGACATCTGATATAAGAGGGCACTTGCAGAATGCCTCTTCATATCACTCCGAACCGTGTCACTGAACATGGCAGTAGGTTGCTCATGCAGGTCAGCAATGTAGGTTCACTGCGTGGACACCATGACATGCCGTTGAAGCGGCAATGCTCTTCTAGAATAGACTGTGTGAGTGCCTGTAAGCGAGCTTCTATTGCTCCCCCATGCTCGTATGCCGCTGCTTCCTTTTAGCCTTCCCCGGTTGGCGAGCGTCAGCTAGCCAACCGGCCAACGCATTAACCTGCAGAGTTTCACGCTGTGTATCCTTGCAGTATGGTAGACAAATTGCGACAAAAGTTCACATTGGCACGGAAAAGCGTGCCATGCCTAGAGCAAAGGGCGCGTTCTTTCGTGTGCGAGGGGCCGGTAGCTCCTCCAGCAAACATTATTTGCTGGCCGCCAATGAGGCCGTACATTTCGTTTCCTTTAAATTCCTTTTCACAATAATGCATTGACCTTTGCAGGTCGAGTTGCCCGGGCGGCGATGTTCTTTGAAATCCGCAAGTTGTAGGTTAGTTTATTTGTTTCCTCCGGAAGCCTGGNGCCCGGGCGGCGATGTTCTTTGAAATCCGCAAGTTGTAGGTTAGTTTATTTGTTTCCTCCGGAAGCCTGGTAATTTGTACAAATAATGATGCAAGGTGCAAGAGTACTCCAGTTCTAGCTGCGGTAGGGTTGCAACACGAGCTTCCAGGCGGATGATGCGCAGCAGAGGCTGACGAACACTAAGCTTCGCGTGCACCTCCCAGCGTCTTGCGACAGCGTCGACGGCAGTGCAGCCTGCATATAGGAAGTAGCTGCGCAGCTTAGTAGTATACGAGGGAGCATTGCGCACAAGTCCTAGGAGGAATAGCCAATAAAAGCAGTGGCCTTCTTGCCTATCTGGAAACGAGAAATGGCAAACTTTCTAGCCCATTCATCCAGCTTTGTCGATTCGGGCGTGCATCAATTGCTTTCCATCCACAGCCTGCACAAGGAGTCCATCATGCAGATGCTTTCACAGCCTTCACGTCAGCGCATTCACGACAAGTGTTTTTGCAGACTTGCGACACAGCATGAACAGAAGCATAGCCTGTTAGTGGAGCCTGATTCAATTCCCTCCATCGACGGTCATGCCTTCTCTGCAGCCGTTTTGGTTGCCGTCAATAAACTCTCTTGGGCCTGCCAGCACCTCCATGTAGCTGGTGCTGATATGGCGCGACCGCAAGTCCTTTTACAAATGCATACTACCAAGGTAAACGCGGCTTTTCTGTCCACCAGTCGAATAAATCCTGCCGAATGCACAAAGCACGCCCTAGGGAAATTCTCGTGCTTCACGCAAGAAGGCTGAAATCTCCTTCTAGGAAGCAAACTCCCGGACAGGCAAGCGAATCACACGAGCACGGGAATCCACAGCAACCAGAGATGGCGAACAATGCAGGAGCTTCTCAGACTCATAGGGGCTGCAAAGATATGGTTTGGCTCCACTACCACCCAGCGCACGCTTGACAGTCTCCTGCTTGGGACACCCATCTGCTGGCTACCCAAGGTTAAAATTCCTTTCCAGCCCGTTTGCCCGTATCGCGTGTCCTGCACTCACGCTGAAATGGTCATAACAGCTGCAGTCTTATGTTCTTAGTGCCTTTGGTGCTCTAGACCGTTGGCTCGCAAACGCTTGCAACTAATCCATGTAGAACTTGCGCAAAAAAAGCAGAACGCCCGAGGCCCATGTCATCCCGTGCACCGAGCGCTCCTGTGCACTAACTTCTGCTCTCCTGCTTTTCTGCCGCAGTCTGCCCTCTATGGGGGCTCCAGGCTAGGTCGGCGATGTCACCACCTGCCGGCACAGACTGAAGCTCTGCCTTTGCAAGTGCCGTGCAGGTCCGGAATCCTTCTTTGCTTGTTGACGCTGTCGAACACTCCGTGGAAACGCGTCACCTCTTCCCACCTCTGCTTGCAGTGCCCCTGCAGCGTCAGCAAAAGCGGAGCAACGCATGTTTCGATTTCTCTTCTGGGAAGGTGGGCAATTCCGTCCCGCTGACAATGTATCTAACAACGCTTGTTTCACACCGCCTTCATGTAAAGTCTGACCTTCTTCGTCTAAAGAGGGGAGCACAGTTTGTGGCGTACCAGCGCAACACATATTCGCGCCCTTCCCAAGTTGCTCTACGTCTACCTTCACTTCCGTACCACGAGTAGTAAATCGTATAGCATTTCTGCCGTCTTTCTGCTCGGAATAGATGTCGATTATGCCGATCTTCCCTGCATAATCAGTTCCGTCAGAGTCATTGACGTAACCTTCGCAACCGGCTGAGTGCGGGCAGATTGAGTAACGAAGCGCAACCTGGCTGCGCCTTGGCTTCTCGCTGAATTTTGCCGAGTTTTTCTCACTCCATACGTCACTCGCCAGTGGAGTGCGTCCTCACTGCAGCTTCATTTGTTGTTCTCGCGGACTGTGCTGCGTTGTGGAAATTCTGCACAGCATTTGCCTGCAACTAGCCATCTCGTCGACAACGGCCCAGCACCTACTCGCGCAAAATGATTGAATCATTGCATAGCTTCGATCCGCTGCCCCTCTTGGCTTAAGGCCCGCTTTGCCTTCTCAGGTTTTTCTCTGCTTTCGTCCCTTGCTGAGTTTGTTCCCCTACTGAACCGCGCCCTTTTGCTCTTTCCGTTTAGTGCTCGTTGCTACACAATTGCGAGGCAGATTTCCCTTGCAGTGTAGCTAGTAAAAGCAGCATCCTCTTCTCTGGGAGCGTGCAGGCAACAGTTTGGACGAGTGGTGTTGCATACCAACTATCGCCGACGAGCAGGCTGAGCAAGCCTGGCCGTCCGTCCCTGTGCTATGCTGGACATCCTTGCACTCGACATTGAGTTGAATGCTTAGCAGGTGCAGTACTGCAGGGGGAATCTTTATTTGCTAATGGCCTTTCTGTTCGCCTTCTCGGAAGTCGCATGGGGTCGCCAGGCCTTTCAATCTCGACCCACTGTGATGAGAGATATTAGACTGCCCGGGCTTACGAACTCCTCAGCCGAAGATGATTTTGTGCGACGGTCTGCTTAGCATTGCTACTCGCATTTTCACTAGTCGGCAGGTGGGCTAATGGCGGCCATCTACGTCTTAACAGTTTTCTGTGGTCTTAGTGTTTGCATCAACCGAGGAGTTGAACAGGCTTATCTGTGATGCTGCCTTGCGCCAGAAGTTGGTGCGTTGTGTGCTGCAACTAATGGCACCCAGTCTTCACTCCTCTCCATCCCCAGGCGGGTCTCCTGCCCCGCCGTGGCAGTGGCACCTGACGACTGAAGGGGTCGCTTGCTCCATTTTGCAGAACTGATATCCTAGATCATCTGATTGTATTGCAGCTTACGACTGTCCTCGGCTAGTATCGAGAAATTCTGGTGCATTTCGTGCTCGTAACGGCAAGGCAAACGGCACGCTCTTGTCACAGCTGCAGAGGAAGGCGACCCCCCAGCTTTTGTCTTTGTGGAACCAGTAGCCCGCGGAAAAACGAGAAAAAGGCTATAGCAGAGATGCCTGTGGAAGGCTGTTGGCGCTTGTAGAGAGCCGCGCACTGCGTTTCTCAAGTGAAGGTGAAGGTTAATAGGCTGAGGAATCCCGAAAGAGCATGGTTCAAAAGACGTGGTTTCTCAACGGGTAAAATTGAAGGCGAAGTGCAACACCGAAATGGCCCATAGGCAGTGGGCACTGATGCCGTTTCATTTTTGCCCACAATCAACAGGCACTACAAAAAAAAATCTGCCTCGTCCCTGCCAGGAAAAAGTGGTGTTGCGGTAAAAGTTGCCAGTGGTCGTCGTCTCCCCCAACGCACGACTGTGAAGCAGACACCCGAAACATCTATACTTTTCTTCCACTAATATCCCCACTTCCGGGAGATATTTTCATTATTTAACACCATAGGTAATATTAGCTGGGTTTGTTAGAGCAGCGCAAGCCAGCACTGGTAAGGGCGCCGCATGGGGTGGGCCAAGAATTGATCCTCAAAGCCCTCCCTGGCACCACAGTGGATGGACCTGTTGTTATCTCTGTCAAGAGCATGGGAACTTTTTGTTTTATGAAACTTCCACGGTTTACAGAGTTACATAATTCGGCAAATATATTTACCTCCCTAAAGTTCCCGATTACTTCATTCGATAGGAGAACCCTTCACATCGATGCGACCGTGTCTTTGCGGACATTAAACGATCAGGATTTTCAGGAGACACAGAATTAGTCTCTGCCTTTGAAAAAAGCGAGAGAATTGTAGGGCATTTCAATGATGTCTACTTCGTACGCTGGCCAGGAAACTTGGAGTCGAGTGGCCCATCAGACGCAACCAAGTCGTCCTTCACGGTCACGGCGTCAGAAGGTGCCGCTTCGTACCTTCCTGGCTACGGCGATTTCCCTTGCAACAGCATTTGTATGGTTTTCCATGTGCAAGACTCTGTTTAACAGAGACCAGCGATCAGGAGTGACACGCCNACAGCATTTGTATGGTTTTCCATGTGCAAGACTCTGTTTAACAGAGACCAGCGATCAGGAGTGACACGCCGCCAGTTGGCTGAAGGCGGGGACGGCATCGATGAAGATGAGCGTTCCATCGTAGAAGGGTGCTTGGACTTGCAGGAAGAGATAGGGGTATTGCATCAAAGTGCGGTCTCCAGTCCTGAAGGTGACTCGTCAAGCCGGGTAACGGCATTAGTATCCATGCTGTCGGAGGCTGCCGCAGCGACGGAATCAACGCAAGTTCCTCGCGCTGACGAGCGGCTGTACTTGAGCGAGCAGTTGCTGGAGGGAGGAAGTGGTCTTGAAACTAAAGGTGATGGAATCGTACGTCTGCAGACTCCTTTGATGCAGGCATACGTTCAACGCCGTCGATCCGCTGTTGTGACCCCCGCCCTGGACCCCGACTCGTGGATAGAGACAATTCCAAGCAAGACCGCCGAACCCGAACGAGAAGCAAGAGATGAGTCTTCCTCGGTTATTGATGACGAGTCGATGGCTGGGCAAGCGTCAGCATCACATATGTCGATGCANATGAGTCTTCCTCGGTTATTGATGACGAGTCGATGGCTGGGCAAGCGTCAGCATCACATATGTCGATGCAAGGGCATCCAGAAGGCCTCAGAGAGATCCTCAGTGTTGGGGGCACTCGAAGTCATCCATATGTCCGGTTGCCAGTGCTAGAGGAAGGTGTTGTTCCTAGGCTCCTCCGAGTATCCATCCTATTTGACAGAAGGCATAGGAGCCATTCACCCCATGTCTACCTGGTCACGTTGCGGAACTTATTTGCAAGGAGGACACTCAGCCAGAAAGATGCAGATATTCTCGTGCATACTGTCGAGCGGCTTGTGACCACATCCTGGTTTCAAAGCCGTAGAGGACCAAAAGGGCCATTTCCGATTCGCATTGTCGATACCTTAGGTACTTATTTCATGTTGTTCGACGCCATCGTCTGCGCTATCGAACTTTTGGGGGACTCCATGCAACTCCCTCTCTGGTGGGATAACTTCGCGGCAACCTTTAACACGGATTTCCCTTTGCCCACTCCTGGGTCATGTGGACACGATGTTACGAAATTTCACGCCGACTTGGCGAGACGGCTTTCCGCTGCCCTCAATATTTACAAGAGGGGAATGCGCCCTCCACTTGCGGAAGTAGTAGCCCTGAAAAAGCTGCTGTTCTGCTTTCCACTCGGCCGTCATAAATTCAAAAGCCATGCCTGGGCTCCGTGGCGAAAGGATGGAGGGTGTTAGGTGGAGGCAGTTCTTAACTCATGCACCTTTATCTTGCTTGATTTATGGAAATCTGATGTAAGACGGTATTTGCAGAATACTTCTTCAAATCACGCCGAACCGCGTCACTGACGTGGCATTAGGATGCTCATGCAGGTCAGTAATGTAGGTTCACTGCATGGATG